TTGTGTTCGAATATTCAGCTAGCTTGACATCAAATATTAATCATTTATTAAATGTTTATTGATCATGAAACAAATAAATGGTTCTTAGGAATCTTCTCTTCCAATATTCAACTCGATTAATATTAGAAGTTGAAGATTTGTTAAAAGTTCATAGATCATGAAACAAACGAATAGTTTGTACGAACCTTCTATTCAAATATTGAACTCGCTGTACATTAGAGATTGAATATCATTATGTATTCATCATTAATCAGACAAAAAAACAGTTCAGTAACCGTCTATTCAAAAATTTCACGCACTTGATGTCAAAGGCTGAAGATTCGTTACATGCTCACTTCCGATGAAACAGACTAATGGACCATACAAACCTTCTTTTCGAATATTTAACTCGTCAGACGCCAAGGATTAAAAAATCATTAGATGGATGTGGGTGTTAATGAAGAGAATACCCCCATCCCACACCCCGTTCTCAATGAAAAACTATCAATTTAGATAACAGAGAAAAGTTAATGAATGGATTGTTTGCAATAAAATTTTCAAAATTTTTTTAAGTAAACAAAAAATGTCAAAACCTGTATAGAAATTCTACGTGTTAAAGATCTGTATTTTATTTTTTCATATTGTTCTTTCAGAATCGGGTTTAGAAATAATTAAATTTCTTTTTTTTTAAATACTTTTATCTTTTGCTATTCTTAAACGATTTGGATTAAACTTAATTGTTTACGTGAAAATATTTTCTCATTTAGAAATGTCGCAATTGAAAACTAAATCGTTCAATCGTAACATTGAGCATGTGTACATAAATATAGATATTTATTATGATAGACATATGACGTATTTATTTTTATTGCTATGATGAATAGAATGTGATTTAATGAAAATGAATTTATATGATTTTGGATCGGAATGCTTTTCTTTGTGATTTATTTGTTGGCTGATTTTCAAAAATTTTCATATGATGCTCAATTGTCAAAATATAAAAAGTAAAACAGTAATTTAACTACTAGAATTTGTAGACGTAGAATCAAATCAATAATAAACTTTTTATCTATCTTATCTCTCTGTGTCACACACAACAATGGTCTAGTGAGATCAGAAAAAAATAACAGTCATATGATTCTTTTGGTGGATGAACACCATCGAATAATTGTAAAATGATACTTTTAAATGACTCATAGAAAAAATAAATAAAAACTTTCTATTGATGTGGAATTTTCTTTTCTTCTAAAATAATCGAACTGAAAATAAAATAAAACAGTTCAATATTCATTTAAGTTTTACAATCAAAAAAATTTATCGAAATATCTATATTATTATGTACAAGTTTTTTTCAGTTCGCCGGGAACTTTCATGTGATTGGTCACAGAACGAGAAAAGAAGTATACATATATATATATGTATGTCGTATATGTTCATTCATTATGCATTTACGTTATGTCTGCTCATTCATTACGTATATACGTTCTATCTGTCCAATCATTATTACTATATTTATAAGAAATAAAAACGTCACTGAATTAACATTGTTAGCAGCGATCTAAATTCTATATTTTACATTCAGAAACTTTTTTCTTATGTAAATTAAATCAATTTTTTCTATAATATTATTCCAACTAAGGGAGAAAAATGTGAGACTTAGGTAATTTCGAAGTCCAATGGTGGTACAGTGGAAGTACAGGGGAGAACAATGAAGTACAGAGGGGTACAAAGGAGTACAGGGGAACACAGTGGAGAACAGGAAAGCACAGTGGAGTACAGTGGAAGTACAGGGGAGTACGCAATCCAGGGGTCTCGCTTTCTCCCCATTGAGTCCAACCCTTCACAGGGGCCTCTAGTTAAATTCTATTTTAATACATCCAAGGAAAAAAACATTTATTTTGATGTTAAATCTTCACTTGTTTTCGGTTGGCATTTTTTATTGATTATTTAACAATATATGATAATTATTGATAAAAATAACGTTTTTCTATATATTGATAAGAATGAAAGATGATGAAAATCATAGATTAAATTCAATAAACGAATCTGTCTTGTTTTGTGTTTTATTTGAAACTTTCGTTACTTTTGAAATCTTATCATCATTATTAAATAAGACTTAAACAACCAAGTATATATATTGATCTATTCATTTAAATAAAGGATATGCAACTAAAAATTCACAATAAACCTCAAATGGAACTGTTTTGTTTATTAAAATTATTTCAATAGAATTTTGAAATTAACACATACTAGGGTGTGGGTGTGGCTAGAGTGTGGCTACCGGTAAAGATAAGACCCGCACTCACACCTACATCCTTCTTGTCGAATAAAATTCAGTTTATGATGTTCACATATAAAAGATGAACATGTAATGCTGCAACACTACACAAGTTGTTTTCTTCACATTCAAGTCCGACTACGTGTATCAAGATACTAGAATAAAGGAAAGATGCAACGATTATTTAGTAAAGAAAAATAAATATCAAGTGGCAAAGTTAAAATCGGTACCAGTTTCAAAACCTACATGTCACGATTTCACAAATATTCGATCATGAAAATTTTAAACTTTCTGCTAATGTCCATTTCAGAGTTGAACAGTCATCAGCATTTTTTGAATAACTTTTCATAGGAATGAGACAGAGATCTGTAGTTGTCACCATTGGAAAGAGGAGATGAAGACACATGGAACCATGTACAGAAACATTTTTCTAACAACTTTTCTAAAGGTTTCAGTCGAGCATTTTCAAAGAATTGCTTTTTTTTCTATGTTGAAAATGAGATTTTTCTATCTAAATACTACAAAAACTTCTATTTATTCGATTATTTTAATGAAAAAAATCAGGTGGTAAATTATATCTACCATGGTTTGGATATCGTACTGGTAGCAATTATGAATAGAATCTTGATGTGGTCTTGTAGCTGTTTGTTTGTCAGTTCTAGCATACTCCTGAAAAATCAATAAATTAATATCCTAACCACGAGAGGCATGCTGTTTTTCTTGAAGTTCTCTGTAAAACCTTTAGAAAAGTTATTAGAAAAATCCTTCGATATAGGGTTCAATACGTCTTTATCTTTTTTTTCCAACAGTAAAAATTGCAGATCTCTATCCCATTCCTATGAGAAGTTATTCAGGAAATTCCCACAGCCACTTATCTCTAAAATAGACATTATTCAGCAGAGCGCATAGATTTTATGAAAAGTCTAATCAGAACCAGGGTTCCGAATCGAATTTCCAAACGAAGTTTATTGGTACGTTTTGGTTGACTTAGCAAACTGTAAGTGTACACTTAGTTTTTTTCAAGCAAAAGGTACCAAAGTGTAGTGAGATCAAAGTTTTTCATACAAGCTCAAAAACAAAGAATAATTTTCACATTCCCATTTAAGAAAACAAAAAGACATATCAGCCAACACTAAAATTGACCGAAAGCGACCGCGTTGTACATTTTACTGTTCACAGACAACAACATTAACTGTTATAGGAACAGATATATGAATTAAACACAAAGTATAAATTCTGTATAGACTGTGTATTCCGTATATTTTGTTTTCATGACCAAAGTGTAAAATAGTGTGTATTTTACATTTAGCAAGGGTTTCGTACATTTTGATTCTGTAGTTCATTTCTACTTATATACTGAAAGTGTTTTATCGATTTCTCTTTGTGCATTATAGATTTCTGCTAGACAGAGTAGAAATCGTTCATCCATTTCTCCTACAAAATTTATCATTTCTGCAGTAAATTCTCCGTGCATTTCTACTAGAAATTTTTCTTTGATTGCTATATGTTGTTGTTTTTCCTGTATAAAAGCGTTTCTGTTTGGATTTGTCTGGACTGAAGAATTTCGGCTTAAACGGGAACGATTTCACGATTGGGAGGGATGGCGTCCAGCCGACGTTAGTTTGCCATTTCTAGAAGTCTGTTAATTGAGTTAATTTAATATTATCATAGTTGAGATTTTGGGGTGTGGGTGTGAATCTAGTATTCTCATCACTCACATTCACACCCACACCCCACACCCTAACGAACGCTCGACTCATTATCGGCACAAGAAACAATCAAAATTTGACTAAAAAATTAGTCCGTCGCTGTTCGTATTTACAGGAACGTATCAGGAATGTAACTAGTTGAAACAACAAACATAGCACTCATTCAATGTTTCATATCAAAAATTCAGCATAAAAAACTTCAACTGATATAAATCTCCTGTAATGCATTATTACTTATTGCTCTAAATCCATTTTTTTCAATGATTTAATAAAGAAAAAAAGACACCTTTCAACTTTGGGAATCTTGTCTCTTTATGTATTCTAAATAGGACCAGTATTTTTCCATTGACAAAGCATAGTTCATCTCCAACAAGTATCACAAAGTCAAAACCATCTGATAATGACCCTTTAGCGAGGTCGAAATCTCCATTATGATATGCAGGACTCATATCCTCATACACCCTCGCAAACATGCCACATTCATATATATATTATTGTATTCACCGTATTAGAAGTCATTCTAACCAGCTTTTTTATTTTAATTTTTTTCTAGTGTACATCTATATTTCTTATTTCGTCTTTTTTTTCATATCTTTTAATTTCTTAATAATATTTTAAAAATAACGTGAATTCAATTTATCAAGTGCAAGACCAAGGAAAAGTATAACAACTGATGATCCTCCTAATATTATTATAATAACAGCCGGCGATTCTGTGGCCTTGCTTTTATGTTTTCTTCTTTTTTGAACTAATTGTATTATTTATGAAAACTAAATCTATATGCATTTTATCACTATTATTATTGTTGCCTATTAATATTAATATTGTCATTATTGATATTCAAAAGAAAGTATATAATAAAAGATTGTAAAAAAACAAAAAAAGATAAATATTATTTAATCGATAAATATCAACATGCTTTGGTTGTAAGTGCACATTTATTATTCAACTTTTGTTTTGTTACTACAAGTTAACATAAAGCGTTGCATAAAGTAATAATTCATATAATTAATATCATAAATAATAAATTATATTCAGTATTTATGATAATATGATTTGTGACCTGTTTTTAATTTGGCACCAATGCAACCGCAATGACAAACTTCTAAGTTTATCACATGTTTATTAATTTTTGGATTGTACTCAACCTTTTTTATAGAGACCTGTATAGCAAGTTGTAGTAAAACTTCTTCTTCACCTGGATATACTGACAACGACGAAATATCCACACCTGAACAATGTAGTCGCCGGCCAGGAATATAAATTACAAATAAAGTATTACCATGAAATTGTAATGCTTTGTCTTTACTTTTTGTTGTACTTGAGAATGCGTCCCACCAAACAGACCAATCAGGATTGGTCTTATAATCATGAATCATCTCGTTTGTTAATGTAGCACATCGATAAACAATAATATCTTCTTGATTTGGACTATCACGAAGATATTTCTCTAATAGACCACAAAGTGGACCTAATGTTTGACCATATTCTCGATCTCTCTTCGTGCAAAACATTCCTTTACACATTTCAGCTTCTCGCATGACTTTGTTAATCAATTTGTACAAAAACTTTCAGCTGTATATAATTTAACGCAGCAGTCCAAGATTTCTTTTGTACTTCCATTTTTTACCTTTCTTAATTCATTTGCAATGCATTGTGCTTCTTGTTTTCTATTCAATTTTGTACCATCTACTTCAATACCATGAGCTGCTTTTTCAATCATTTCATCGTTTACTGCATCATCTGAAATCAAATTAAATCTTGAATTGTGAATAAACGAACGAAATGGGTCGTGGCTCAATGATTGGTAACGACTTTTTGGTTGTTGCATTGCAAATCTGTGTTCTCTAATATGTTCATCCGATATGTCCATGATTTTGCGCCTACTGAGTCTTTGTTTATTCGGATTTTGTTTATTGATTTGAATTTGTTTATTAAAATCAATCCAAAAATCATCCAATTCAACTTTATTTTGATTTTGTTGATGTGCATTTTCGATGATATAACTTTCAATATCTGAATATTGTTCCCATGTGTCAGGTTCAGTATTTGCCCAGGGATTAGTATTTGATTTCCATCTCCAAATTGCTCGTGATTTTGATAACGAATTCATAAAAGTCATGTTTTCTAAAAAAAAAAGTAAAAAAGTACGTGTACATTGCAAATAGGGATGCCGCTTTTGCGTTTCTCGTTCCAAAAGCGGGGAATGAAACGCTTCAAGGGGAAAAAAGCGACTTGTCGGATCGGGGGATCCTACGGATCCTCTGGATCCCGGATACGAATGTTGACCTGGCTGTATCATTAGGTTCTCAACTGCTGTATTTTAGAGTTACTCTTAGATCCTCAAGTGCTATATTTTAGAGGTATCCTTGGACTCTTAAGAGCTACATTTTGGAATGACCCTTAAGTCCTGTTGTATATGGGTATCCATAGGTCCTCAATGGATATTATAGAGCCATACCCTTGGGCGCTCAGATCTATTATATAGGGGTACTCATAGGCCCTCAAATCCTATTATACAGGGGTACTCATAAGTTCTTAAGGACTATTATACAGAAGTGCCCTTAGGCCCTCAAGTCGGGCATTGGAAGTGAATAAAACACGCTAGCCAAAGATATATGGTTCACTTCAGATAGAAAATATGAACCAATCAAATTAGAGTCCTGTTTGCATAATATATCTGTTTTTCTCCTTTTCTGTGTAGACTGTTAAACCAAATGAATTAAAGTGGAATTGGTTTTCAATCGGGGAATTTGTCCTATTTCTTCTTCGAATTCTTTGGTGCTCTTTTCACTTCAAATAAAAACTTGTTTAATATAATTTAGTCAAAAAAGTAAGTTCGAAACCTAAACTCGGAAGCTCGAACTCACTTACTTATCAACATTTTACCATTAAAACATCTTCCATATTTTTAAAGTTATGATACTAAAACAATATGTTACTCGTTAATAATTACGCATTAATAAATTAGTACCCAACTAATTAGAGATAATATTGACTACGTTTTGAACCATATTTGGCCATGATATCTAATGACTTTGCGAGACTTCCTCGGATATAATAAGCAATAGTTCTCGAGCTATTCTAAACCTTGATATCTATGACTCTTAGAGGTGTTTTCGAACATAGTAGTCACAACTTTTTGAACGCTCTACAAGCACTATGTATGTGACTTGTAGAGGTCGTCTCGCGCACAATACTGACAACTTTTCAGGTCTTTGCAACCATAATATCTAGGATCTTCAGAAATTGTCTCAGGTATAATACCCACCCACAACTTTTCGAGCCCTATGACGCTATGATGTCTAGGTCCTTTGAATGTCTTCGCACACGTCATATTTGTAACGTTATCAACCTTATTTCAACATGATTTCTGTAACTGCTCAACACTTCTTTGCACTTTTTATTGTTAGGTTTTGACGTTGTGTATGAACACTGAGTCAACAATTTGTTAATTCCTATCTCCATAACATAACTAGTCGTTTTTAAGCTGATGTTTGTTGCTTAACTTTAACACTGTCGTTCAGGCACGACTTATATGGTTTTGTGGGTTTGTTTTAGGAATAGTAGTGATAAATCATCAACCTCTTTTCAAGCATTCTATTTATGGTTTGCTGAGAATCAGCATCTGCGATCCAAACAGACCTGCTTTGCCTAGGCATGACCGATCCACGACAGGCTAAAGATAAACTGAGTCTCTTTGTGCCTTCCATTTTCTACAGTCTGGCCAACCTTGTCTGTCATGACTAGGAGTGGGGTCTTATTTTTAATCTCACTTCATTAAGTTACTTAATTAAGTTATTTATTTAACGCTTAATATTAATGAAAAAAAGTTTCAGCGCATCACTTAATCACTTAATATTAAGTGTCAAGTTAGATTTAACACTTAATATTAAGAAATAAGTTTTTCTCTTAACACTTAATTCATTTAATATTAAGTGACTAAGTCTGTGATTTGAATATGATATCATTTTATTTCGACTTAATCGTTAATAGGATATAACAATAATGATCTAATTATACAGGTACTCTCAGGTCCTAATCTCCTATTGTATCGGGTACCCTTAATTCTCCAAGTCCTATTATACGAAGGAACTCTTGGATCCTTATCTCCTATTATATGAAGGTACCCTTGATTCCTCAAATTCTATTATATACAGACATCCTTGGGTCTCCTAAATCCTATTATATGAAGGTACCCTTGCGTCTTCATGCACTATTATATGCAGATAGCCTTGGGCCCTCAAGTGCTATATTATGGGGATAGCCTTGGATCCTCTAGTGCTATACTGTTTTACACTCTTCAAAACAGCGAGTATTCAACGTGTCAAAAGAATGGATGGATGTGTATGCGTTGATGTTGGCGTGGATCCCGTTGTGCACAATGGTATCCGGGTCCGAATGAACATTTTTGTCACAAATACATCTAATCAAATTGATATTCCCACATTGATACTCAACAATAGTCTAAGGACCCATAGTATGGCGGCAATATCCACATGCGCCTAAAAAACATAAAATATTGAATTTTCTGAGAGGCCACGAAGCAAAACGCATTCACGACACTATTGTGAAACAGCGCCATACTCCTTGAAATTTCTACTAGAAATCCGTTCGCTTTCTAAAACCTGAGTCAACAATATTTTTTACTGGAATGTGCGCTATAAAAATATGGTTTTAATTGAACTCCTTGCTTAAAATTAATTATATTAGATCTAGCAGAGGTCCAACCAGGTCGGGTTTTAGTGGGCCTGACCTAACTGTGACAGGTCTATGAATTCTTTTTCCCAGTCTATGTTGTAATAAGATTAGAAGAGTATTAAGTATTAACACACTCACCACGATGGGACCCATCGGTGGTTCCCAGTGTGGTCAATCGTCGTGGTCAAATCGCCTTCAATGTAACGCATCCCTTTTAAAAATCAATCAAATAGCCAGTGTTGTACAGCTTCCAACGCTCTTTTCGTTGACATATTCGAAAGCTAGTTTTGATCTTATTATGGTGGAGAAAAACAAGACTTATTGAAGATCCGCACCAGCACATGAGTACTTGTTGAAATTCAGATCTTTTTCAAGCTGTGTTTTCGATAAAAAGTACATCATCTTGTAGATCGTTCTTTTTTCTATCGAATGGTATACGTTGAAAAAGAATTCATATGATAATAGAAATAAGATTAGTCAAGGAAAAAGCAGAAATGCATATCTTTTTAACACGAAAGCAAGAGTAATTTTGACGAGAAAATTTTGTTAGAATTCAGAACATAGTTTTAAGAAGCTGATTTTTTACAGAGGATAGACAATGAACTAAGGACTACTCAATGATGAGATCAGAAAGTTGTTAATACATTGGCGGGAGTATGATCCATTGATGGCCTTCATCATTCACCAGTTGGATCGATTTGTGTTCAATGTGTTACACTTCATAGAAATTTCAATCAGCTCATGGATCAATTTACTTGAGAGTAACGGATATTTTCTGATATGAAATGCAACAGTTGTAAAACTGCTGATTACACAGTGACTGCTCTGTTCTTATCTATAATTTGTAAGAATTAGAATACAACCAGAGTTCTTAGCTACCAAAAATTTTGCTCGTTAGTTAAAGTAAGACTAGAAAATCAAAACAAAATAATTCTACGATTATTGTTTCGTACTAAGTAGACTGAACGGAGTTTTCCGACTTTTCATGGACTTTTTCTTGGAAAAATGAGTCTAGCACTCCCAAAGAATTACGCCACAAAACAAGTTTCATACGAAGGCAAACTATTTGAGACTACACAATGCCATTAGAACCCAGTATAAGCTTCAGTTCAATTATCAAAACACTGTTTTGACAAGTTGCGTTTTTTTTTATGTAAAGTTCAGGGAAATTAGAGTCAATCTTCCTAACATAAAGTCAATGAAAAGACCTAAAGTCGAATGAATCTGTGCAGGATTAATTTCTGGTTTACATAGGATTATTTTTTTATTTAAATAATATTTCTTTTGATATAAATCTATAAAATGTTGGTCAAAACCACTAAAAATCGTATCGATAGAATAGTTTTCCTGAAGTGTTTTCCAGTAGTAAATTTTTTTGATATCTTGTTAGCATTTCAGAAGGCTTAAAGCATTTCTACAGGATTATACGAAAATCCGAATGATCGTTAATATGTCGACAGACAAAAAAGGAACAGGTGATCGCCAGCAGCTGGAGTTAATATATTGTTAGACTAAATCAAACGATCTCAAAATATTGCAAACAGATACAATAGAGTCAAGTTATTCCAGTGATCCCTTAAGCTGTACATATGAAATAATTTTGTGTCGAAAAAAAGCTTTCGATCAAGTCGGCTTCATAGCCTATCGACCACCTTTTTTATGTTAATAACCATTAATATTTGTAATCTGTTCAATTGTTTAAGTCATTGACAGATACTTTTTTCTCAAATAATCTCTTTAATTCGCACTCATCGGATGCTATCCTTGAGAATTAACTCAGTTTGATAGCTTCTTTGAAAGACATTTCTCTATGTGATAGAAAGATTTTATTGCAAAAGAAAAGCAGACAGGCCAGTCCAGGCCAGGCCAGAAGGTCTGGCATTTTAAGCGGCCTACCTGTGATAGACCAGATCTTAAAATCATGGCCTGTGCCTATCATAGGCAATAGGCAGGCATGGTGGCCTGGTTGGAATTCTGAGATCTAGTCTTCAATCGAACTGCGATCCTTGAAAGAAGCTCCTACTCAAAGTAACTTTCAGATTTGACATGTAATCTGAATATATCCCTATACATTTCGACATTTGAATAAGTACATCGAAGAACACATCCCAGCAGAAAAACTCCTGTTTATTTCATTTATATATATATATTTCTAATACCATGTATATAAAAGCTCTGACTGATGTTTTCCGTCAAATGTTGTATTCAAATATTGTGCACGTGCAAAAAAAGCGTTCTCACACTTCATTTCAAAATATTGCACATCCAAATCTACTTGAAACACCATTTTGACCTTTGGAACATGTTCCTGAACGAATATGGGAAGGCTTTACTAAAGAGACATTTAAATCTCATGGTGAAAACCCAGTATTTTCCGACTATTTTGTTGACAGTTTGGCATATTGAAAATCCGATGTCCCC